CTTGCCCGTTTAACCCCATCCTTCCCCGTCCCTAATTAACGGCACTCGAGCCGGGAKCAGCAATCCTGAAAGATCTTCCTGCCCGGAGATATTCCCTTGGCTAATATCATTAAACCATCGGCTCCACAACAGCAAATAATCTCATCGTCAAACAGGATTAGTCATCGGTCGCTAATTGCCACAGAATTTTTCCCTTTATTTTTTTGGATGCACTTCTCTCCTAGGGCTCAGGTGAGGCTCCCAAATTTTTTGCATGGATAAAGAAGAACGAGCCGCTGATTGAAGGATATTTGGGATATTTCCCACCCGGCCAGCCCAGAGGTTTTCCTCCCTCCCCTCTCTGTTCCCCCATCCCCCCACGCGTGCCTACCATTTATTATCTGCGAATTTGTATCTGTGGTCATCCGCTGGTACAATATCCATCAACAGGATGTACTTGGTTTTTGGATTGAGTCCAGTGACCTTCACTTTGTAACTGGGGAACATTCGCCTGTTCAAAATAAATAAATAAATAAATRAAAGTTTCAAAGCAGAGAAAAGCAACTTTGCCAAAGTGGTTTCGTGTATGCGTTTTTAGGGGTTTTTGAGTTTTTTTGGGTGGGGGTCATTTAACAAATGAACAATGCCACGTTCCCAGGTGGATCTTCCCAAAAGGATCGGGTGCACCCTCCCCTCGGGATCTGGGACGGTGAGCCCGGTGATTTATCAAAGCAAAATGAGAATTTCGAGGCTGGCGGGTTTATTTACCCACCTCCTTCTGTGTCTATTCGTGTTTTTACTAATTTGTTTCAATTCGTATTTTTACTAATTTAACTAATTATTTGTTTCACCAAAGTTTTTGAATCTCTGTTCTTTGAATAAATCTGAGCGTGAGAACTTTTGGAAGCAAGTCACTTCAGTCTGTCCATAAACTTCTGGAACGGGAGAAGGAAATTTGCCAAAAAAAGTTTTAAAATAGAAGTTAAAATCTAGATATTTCTATAAAATTATATGTATGTATATATCTTTCTATAAATGTATTTCTGGAAGTATTTTTTTCTATAAATATTTATAGAAATACATTCTAATATATTGCACATATAGAAATATAAACTTAAAATAGGTTTCTATGAACACCTTGATATCTATCCAGGTTCTAGGGACAGATATGGAGGAAAAATCCTCTGCACACTCAGGTGTAAGAGAAAAATGGGTGAACAGCCGTGCGATCACCCCGAGACAGCAGCGCACACACCTGACAAATCCTTGGAAACCCTCGGATACACACAAGGCAGGGGCTTTTCGAAATATTTTCCATTACTGCAACGCGACGACTTAAACCGCTGCTGTTATTTTAGTTCGAGCTTTCCAAATATTTAAAAATAAAGCAGATGAAAATGTAGCCCTGGACTTGAAACACGCATAAACAAAAAAAAAAAAAATTCAAATAAAAGCCCCACACCTCTAAAAATACCGCTCTCTTCTGCGAGGCTCGGGATCTTATCGCGGCCGTGGGGCACCTSGGCTGGGCTTTAATTCGGTTGTAAAAAGCTGAAGGGGGGCGAAAAGCGCCCAACGAAGGGAACGGGCATTGAACTTTAAATTTTTGAGGGAAAATAAACCAAATTCCACCTGGAGATTGATCTGTAACTCCATCGAAAGCACCTGAGCGGCAGGAGCGGGGATTTCTCCAGCGATAAACACGGGCAATGAGATAAACAAGGAAACCCAGCCCGCATCTCCCCTCGAGCCCCAGCCCTGTAAATGTCTATTTTATTGCTCTCCAGATGAGATCTCCGTCCACAGCGATATTTGTTTGAAATTTCTGCAAGGTGGTTTCTGTCTCCTTTCGAGAGTTGGATTTTTTTTATTCCCCTTGTGAACTGGGTTGGTTTTTTGGTTTTTTTTTGGGAGGTCCCATCACCGACTTCATCCCCCCCACACTCCATCCCTTGGCCACAAACTCCTTTCAAACTCATTTTCCCAGCAACGAGGTTCAAGGGAAAGGCGAGATCTACTCAGTAAAACTTTATCCAACCAGCTCAAATTTATTTTTACCCCTCCCTCTTCAGGCAAAATTTGGGAGACCACAACAAATACCAGATGAGAGAGCAAAATGAAAGTTTGACTCTGCATTCTTGTGTCCCTACAGTTTAAAACTACCACGCGTGGACGCGTTTTCCCCCCTTTTCTCCGAGGGTTTTAATTTAAAATCACAACGAAAAAACCTCCCTCGGGCTGCCCCAAATTTGTTGATAGGACTGGAGAGACTCTTTYACTGCGTCTCGCTGGCCACTCTTCGATTTAACAACCCTCCACCGTATTAATATCCAGGATAATGTTAAATCCCCTCAAATACAGCCGCGTCCAYATATAAATATCTGCGGATCAGGTTTACTGAGCCGCTCATGGAACCGATTAGAACCCCAATAAAGYTGGATTTGCAAGGCTGTATATTTTCCCGCACACCCACGCGGATAAACACCCGCGCAGAAATACACCCACGTGATATTTATTTGCTATCTCTGCATCGAAACAACTTTGTTATCTCTCTATAAACAGTAGCTCGAGACCGCGTAGACATTTAAATGGGGTGAAGGGGCTGTGCTGGGAATATTCTCCCCAGAGTGAGAAAAAAATTAATTAAAAACTCTCTAAAACAATGTAGAACTTTGGGGGAGAAAAAGCAAAGTTGCTGTGATAATAATAATAATAATAATAATAATAATAATAATAATAATAATAATAAAAAATAGTTGCCCACCGGGCTGCTCTAAACAAAGTTTGCTTTTTGGCCAAGTGGTTGCAACTCGCGTTCGCCTGGAAAGTTTCCAAAGGCCTGAAGTTGGAATTAATGATCCAACTGTTCTGGTTGAGAAAGAAGCCAGAAGAAACAGCTTCTCCCGCGTCTCTCCAGGCAGGGAGGGCTCTCTGTGGCCAGGCTTTGTCACATACACGGACACGAGMGATGTGAGCGTCCCCGTGGCACGGAGGTGGGCACTGCCCCCCGTCCGGGCGTGTGCGTGTGTCCCCCGATCCCGCAAACGCGACGGGGACCGCGGACCCCCCCTGCTCTTACCTCCCGGCCTTTGTTATGATCATCTCCGTGCCCACTTCGTGGAACTTCAGCCACAGCTCGCGTTCGTGCAAAAACACCTTGATGCCCTCCATGCCCTGCGGAGCGGGGAGGCACAGAGCGTCAGCCCCGGGCCGAGAGGGGACAGCCCCGAGACGAGCGGGGACAGACCCTGGCAGAGCGGGGGCAGCCCCGAGAGGAGCGGGCACATGCCCGGGAGGAGCGGGGACAGCCCGGAGAGGAGCGGGCACAGCCCCGAGAGAAGCGGGAACAGCTCCGAGAGGAGCGGGGACAGCCCGGAGAGGAGCGGGCACAGCCCCGAGAGGAAAGGGGACAGACCCGGGCAGGGCAGCCTCGCCTCGCACGGCCCCTCCAGGAAGCTCGTGGGGAAAGGGCCGGGGTCTGCGGGGCATTCCCGGGAAAATCCTGCCGCAAAGCCGGCCAGAGAGGGTTCCAGGCCGGAGTGCGGTGATGCTGCTCAGGGCGGGCCTGGAGCGGGATCCCGCGGGCCGCGGGGCTCGTGGGGCGGGAGGCGATGGGAGGGAGCCCCGGAGCCGGCTCCAACTGCATCCTCCCGGAGAAATCCACCGGCGCTCCGGCCCAGCTGCCCCCAGAGCCAGCCGGAGGAGATGGACACCCTCCCACGAGTGATTTACACCCCTCAGGCTAGCGCGGCKTGGGGTGTCCCCTTGCGCCCCTCGTCCCCTTCTTTTCTCCTTCCCACCCAAGCGCTGCCAGCCCCACGGCAGGAGCAGATGCCACCGTGGGGACAACGCGTCCCTCCACGCGGGCTGGGAGGCACAGGGGGCACCCCCAGCCAAGGCAGGAGCTTCTTCCCCTCACTAAAAACGCAGCCGAAGCGCCCCATCCAAGGCTTCGGGGGTCGCTTTCTACCCTGGCCCTGCCGAGCCTCCTGCCCGCAGGGGTTTTAATCGGGGGGTACCTGCCGGGGGACAAGTGGGGCTCTGCGGGGGGACCCCACAACCGCTGAAGGCGAGGGGATCACGGCGGAAAGCCCCCTCTGTGCCCGAGCCGCCGGGAGCTCCCAGCACGGCGAGGAGAAGCCGAGGGATGGCCCTGCCCGCTGCCGCCCCGTCCCGCTCTGCTCCAGCACCGAGATCCCGCCTGGAACCCACGCGTGTCCCGGCACACGCAGCACCAGAGCCATGAAGGCTGAGCGAGGGGATGAGGGACACCCCAAGGTCCCCGTGTGGCCGTGGGGGTGCCCACGAGTGACCACTGGGTGCCCTGGGTGCCCGCTGTGGGTGTGGGCTGTGCCCGCCTGGATGGACACGGGGTGCCCATAGATGTGTATGTACATAAAATATATACATTGAAATCTTACACAAATACAGCAGAAAGCTCCACTCGGGGCATGTTCTCTCGTGCATTTGTACGCTCTGGGGTGGACACCCGTGGGTGTCCCTGCAGAGTGGGTTCCCTCGCTGCTATTTCGGGTGTTATTTCCTGCCTGCCCCTCCACACCCCCCAAAATTCACGCGGYCGCATCCCCGCGGGTCCGGCGCTCGAGCACGACCTCAAATAACACTGCAGGAGGATGAGGCCACGGCCAGGTGAGCCTTTGCACTCGCGTGGGCCTAAAACAACCCAGCCACRCAGCTGAGATGGGGGAAAAACGCGGAGAAAAGGGGAAAAGAACACCAAAAYCCAACAGCGGTGGAAGGACAGTGGGGCGGGTGCTTACCTGCTGGGTGAAGGCTGCTTGGGGTGAGGTGGGCGACTTGCTGGTGGCCCCCAGCTGCGTGTCCTGCTTGGCTTCAGCCTGGAGCTCCTTGGCCTCGGGATCGGCCGGCGTGCTGGGCAGCCCGAAGCCTTCCTCGCTATCCGCCATGTTACGAGCTTCCTTCGCCGAATCCCCCACTGCAGGCACACATCGGGAGAGAGCACAGATAAGAGACGCACGAGTCAATGCTGCCGTTTCATAAAATATAGATATTTCCACATCCTCGCKGTTCCCAGCCGGCGCAGAGCCCGGCAGGGCTGCCCCGACCCATCCCGCCACTCACTTCCAGCTGCCCAGGGAGGGAGCGAGGCCCTTTAACTTTGGGAGAGGGAGAAATAAAGAGTTTTATTTATTATCGCAGCCCGCAAGGGATGATAGGATTTGGGGGGGGCTCGGGGGGGTGGAGAGGGAGGGGAAGGGGGAGGCGGTATTATTGAACGCATCTTCTGCAAAAGGTAAACAGCGGCGTTTAGGGCTGCCCGGCGGCACCCGAGGGGCTGGGGAGCAACCAACTCATCGCACAAATGGCTCTGGAGGGCGGGGGGTTCGAGGTGGGGGCTCCAGAGGCTCCCCCGAGGCTCGGCCACCTCCRATTCCTCCGGGCTCGCTGCGGCCCAGGGGGTTGAAAATCCCCGCTTTCCTCCCAGGGAAGAGGAGCTTCCACCCCGCTCCAGTTCCGAGCAGGAAAACACCACTGACACACGAGGCCGCTTCCAGCACCCGATTCCCAAGGAAAATTCAACTTCTTGCCCTTCTTCTAAATTTTTTTTAAAAAAATTAAAAATCTTTTTTTTCCCTTATCCAGGGCGGTTACAAGCAAAGCAAAGGATGGAGGAGAAAATGAAAATATAAAAGTGCAAATAAATCAATCGGCGAAACGCTGCTCAAGGTAACAAGGACTCGGACTGTGAACGGGGAGTGGAATTGGGGCTGGAGAGAGCTAAGCCATAACATTTAGGATAAAACTGCACCGGCGGAGAAAACGAGCTTAAAAAAATACACGGTTTATATGTGATGTGAGTAACCGCAGCGAGTTTTAAAAGCTGTATTTTGACTTCGCTTTAAAGGCTCTATCAGGAATGGTAAAAGTTTCATTGCAGCACAAAAAAACCCCAAAAAAGATAAAATAAATTGAATTATCTGTTCGGTTTTTATTGTGTTTAAGGAGTTCGGAGTTTTAGGAGTTTTTAAAATAAATATGTCTTGCGTGTTTCAAAGAAGGGGATTCAGTTTTGAAAGGCCAACCATATGGAGGCAATATTGGGTTTAAATGCACGAGACTGTTTTTAAATGAGTCCTTCGCCCTGCAACGACATTCGAAAGCTGCTAAAAATCAAGCGGAGTGAGGGAAAAAAAGGCAATTCTCCTTTAAATGCGAAGGAAAATCATGAGTGGAAAGGCGGGGGGGAGAAAATTATCTTCCCCGCTAGTGATGGGTAATACATACATGTAGGGATTTATAATTTAAAAGGACAAAACGCAAAGGGACTCCAGGTCCGCACCTCTGGAGCTGCAGCCCGGCCACAGCCGCGGCCCGTGCCCGGTCCCTCCCTCCTTCCCTCCCTTCCCCAAGGCTCTTTTCCCACCGCGCACCAGCAGCGACCCAAGGGCGAAGCGAAAGCGCTGCGCGGGCGGAAAATGCGCGGGGCGCTGCGGAGGCCGCTGCCCCGGCCCGGGCCCAGCCCGTGGGGGCAGAGCCGCAGCTCCAGGGACCATTTAAGGCTTTTCTCTTCCCCTCCTCCTCCTCCTTTTTTTTTTTTTTTTTTTTTTTTTTTCTTTTTTTTTTTTTTTTTTTTTTTTTCCCTGAAACTTTTGTGGCGTCTTGTTTGTTTGGGTTTTTTTTTTTCTCCTTGGGAAGTGCCGCTTATGCATTTTTTAATCGATTTCCCTCCAGCTTGGAGCTGCGATTCCCCCGGAGCTGGTGAAGTTAGGGGGTAGGGCGAGGGAAAATAATAAGAAAAAACCCTAAAGCATGTTTATTAAAACAAAGAGGAACCCAACCATGGCAGCGCAGCCCAGCCCAGCGAAGCCTCCCGGATGGTCTCCGCGCCCAGACATAATTAAGCAGATACAAAAATAATAGTAATTACAAAAAGAGAGGGCGTGACGACAAAAAATAACCCCACAACAGAGAGCAATTGGCGATCCGTGGCTTCTAATTTTTTTTTTTCCCCTTAAAAGCGCTTCTGAGAAGAAATGGAGCTTGACAGAACCAGGCCGCGGTGGCTGGATGAAAAATGCATCTCGCTTTGCTAAAGTAGCGCCAAGTGGCTTTGCGGGAGGAAAGAACGCAAGGGGGGGAAATTAAACAGAAAAAAWAAATAAAATAAAATCACCACCCTCTGCTTTTGTTCCGGCTTCGCCCGGGCGCCCCCCCAGCCCCACAGAGCGCGGAGGCAGCGCTGGGGAGAGCGGCCCCCGGTGCTCGCCCCGCTCCCCGCGGCTCCCGAGGCCTCGCAGCCCCGCGGCACAGGCGATCGCGGCTCCCGATGGCCCCGGTCGGGCTGTGCCCGGCTCACGAACGCGCACACACAGAGGACAGACCCCGACAGAGGACAGACATGGCAATGGAAGAGCTGTTACCTTGCTCGTTGAATTCCATGCAATCAATGCATCTCCACATATATAATGTATGGGTCTATTTTCCCCCGTTTGCAATGGAAATTACAATGGGATCAGGCGTCTCGTGTGCATATTTCCTTTTTATTTATTTATTTGCGGAGCAGCATGTGAAAACCCAGCCTGGAAGAAAAAAATCTATCCAATGCAAGCCTGCTTCTCTCTCTCTCTCTCTCTCCTGCTCTCTSCAAACACTTCCAGGTTGTCAGACGCGCTAGAAAGGATCCTGAGACCAAGATAAAGCCCCCGCCCCCACCCTTTTCTCAGCCTGGTCTGATGCAGTTCACCCCAGCCCACTCTTGCTGCTGCCCACCTAAAAATAATTTTAAAAATTTAAAATAGTAATTTGAAAAAAAAATTAAAAAAGAAGGAGAGGGCGAAAGAGCGGAAAAAAGAAAACAGCACCCTCTTGGGAAAAATAAAGACGAAGGAAAAAAAAGTTTCTGCCGGCTGGTGAGCCCCGCTCCTCCGGGCAGGTTCGCGGCGCTGCCGCCGTGGCTGCGCGGAGCGCGGAGGAGCCGAGCGGAGCGCGGAGGTGACGTGGGCTCGTCCAGCTCCGTTCGCCAAGTGCCGGGACCCACTGCCCAACCAGCTGGGATCCTGCTCCGGAGAGACTCCCTCTCCCACAGCCCTCCCTCCCGCCCCCTCCCCCCCAAACCTCCTTTTCCAGCCTATTTTTCTGGCCGGCAAACAAGAACAAGGCACAAAGACAATCATCAAACTCCGCAGCAACCCTCCCCCTCTCCTTTACCTCCTTCCCCGCTCCCTCCCTCCTTCCCTCCCTCCCTCCTCCATCCATCTCTCCCAACCAAAGAGAAAATTCAGCGTCTGGGAATATCCTTCCCCCCCAACTAAAATAGATCGATGTCTCCGCGAACCTCGCGCCACCCCCAGTTCCCCCCTCCCGCCCTCAAAGGCAGCCCAGAGGTGTGGATTTAAACCCAGCTCGAAATTTGCTGCTGCTCAYAGCGGCCTTTGATTGGGGGGTGGGGGTGCTCCCCCAAAATACATTTCCCTGATGGTGTAAACCCCCCAAAAAGGCGGCGGAGCGGGACAGAAACCCAGCGAAAGTGGCCCCGGGCTGCGTGCGCGGGGCTGTGGCTCTTGTCCCCGCTGTGGCCGCATCCCGGCTCCTTCCCCTGCCCTCTGCCATCCTCTCCCTCACCCCTCGCTGCCACGGCCCAGGGCCGCAGCCCCCCGGAGCTCAAATAATCAACCCGTCAGCGAGGAGCGGGGCTGGGGGGTTTATCTGCATCTTCCTTCGCTCCTTTTTTTTTTTTTTTAATGTATTATTGGGAGGGTAAAGTTGAATAGGTCAGCGCAGGGTAAACAGCCTCCCTGTCGCATTCTGCAGGCTGAAGAGAACCAGATTGGCGAGGCGGATTTTTGATAAGACTCGGAATAAATGGCATGGTTCAGATCTGCTCTGCCCACCCTCCTCCTCCTCCTCCTGCTGCTGCCCCCACCCTCTGCTCACCGCTCTGTCCCGTCCCCCCACCCACCCAAAAAAAAAAAAAAAA